CATTCCACCAAGATGTGTCCTTTTTAGGTGGCCGACATCCTTTAGATTCTCCAAGTACCTCCTTTGCCACTTTGTTAATGGTCAACTCCATTGATAACCACACATCATCCACATGTGTTTCATTATCAATACGCCATACATCTTCACCGACCATTTTGTGTGTAAAGCTTTGTTGAAGATCTCCCTCAAGCCTCCACCACTTTATCTTTGGTTCCACTTGTTGTTTAACTTGTCTTCTATGGTTCTTACCTCGAAAGTCAAGCACAAGCATCCTATGCTGAGTGACAACACTCTCACCTGGAATAAGCTTACAATCAGTGTAGCTAGTTCTCCCAGTGGTCCGTACTAAGAAGTAGTCAATTTGGGTACTATTAGCTCCACTTTTATAGGTTACAAGGTGAGAGTCTCTTTTCTTAAACCAAGTGTTCATTATAGCCAACTCATACGTCAAGGCAAAATCCAAAATGTTCTTTCCCGCCTCATTCCTAGTGCCAAAACCATGTCCGCCATGAATATTCTCAAAGTCATCACGACTCGAGCCCACATGCCCGCTGAGGTCACCTCCTATGATCAACTTCTCTCCCCTTGGCACTCGTCGCACCACGTCTTCAAGATCTTCCCAGAACTGTTGAGTTGTAGATGCATCCAATCCCACTTGTGGTGCATAGGCACTTACCACAAACACAATCTCACCTCTTATCACCAATTTAATGCTCATGATGCGATCGTTCTTCCTGAAGACTTCTACCACATCCTCAACATAGTCACGTGCCACAATAATGCCTACCCCATTTCTAGTCTTATCTCTCCCCGAATACCACAACTTAAAACCTCCGGGATTAATCTCGCGTGCTATCTGTCCAACCCATTTAGTTTCTTGCACACACATAATGCTGATATTCCTTCTACTCATAACCTCGACTACCTCGGAAGATTTCCCTGTAAGAGACCCAACATTCCATGTCCCAAAACGCAATCTAGCATTCCACCTTCTGTTCTTAGCCCCATCTCGGACCCCACCATGCTCTTGCATATTTGACATCATCCCCGGGCAATGGAATGACGCGCCGCTTCTGGGCGGCGACCTAGCAACCTTAGCATTCTTATCACCACACCCAGGTCTATCAAGTGTAGCGCGCCCTTGCATATTTGACACCACCCCCAGGCGAAGGGATGACGCGTCACTTACGGGTGACGACCTAGCATTAGCGATTTTCATATTTCGATTCATGTCATGTGATGTGACTAGGTGATACTGTTGACCGTCACACACCTACCACAACACCCTCCTCCTTTATCCTGGCTTGGGACAGACATGATACCAAAAAAATTATATCATGGCGGAGTTGGTGTTCATCTTGTTCAAGAAAAAAAATCATATTTGTGACAAACTTCCATTATTCTGTTTTTATGCATGATTACATATTTATTGTCATGTTTATGGCTCTATCAATCTGTCTAAATAATTTCAAGTGATTTTTGCCTGAAAAAACCCATAAATGACAAAATCTGAAACAAAACAAAGCATAATAAAAACTTCATGATAGTTATCAACCAAAGTCAACATTGTTGTGTTGTTTCAAACTACAGAAACTAAGAAAGGAAAGCATTGTAAAATTAACTTAACAAGAAATTTCACCAAGCACAAGTGTGTGATCTAAGCCAGCCACAGCTTCCAAAACTTCGTAACTTTGAGAAAAATCTACCAACATTGGTTCTGATTCATCGGTTGAACTACATAACCCTAATCTTCCATTTTTACCGCAACCCCACACCCAAACGTCATTCTTCTCAGTGAGAGCAAGAGAATGTGCACGACCTGCGGACACGGACTTAGGGGTGTCCCCATCCAGCCCTTGAACCTGCTGGGGGATGTGGCTTGGACCTTGCCTCCCAAGTTGACTATTTTGGTTCCATCCCCATGAAACAACCTTAATTCCACCACCTGATGCCACTCCGGAAAAAGGAACTTCACAAACTGCCAAAGAGTGCCCTAAACCTGAAGCTATACTCAAGGTACGAAAGCCTATGTCAACAGTGTGCATTCCCAAATCTTGATTTGCCCTTCCTAACTGTCCATATGCATTGCTTCCACCACTTAAAAGTGTTCCATCATCTGAAATTCAATATCCGATCATGTTTCTCAAGTAAAAGTCCTAAATGCCCAACTGGTGAGGATCCGATTGGAACCTGGAAAATGCTTGGGAAAGAAAATAAGTACAAAAACATGGAGAAAATTTAGAGTGAAAGGAAATGGGGGAAATGAGATATGTGCACAAACTCAATAATTCTATATTTATATATTTGTTCAAACTCATTTTATTTATTGATTTCTATCATATAAAGATATGAAATCTAAATATACATTAAAAAAGAAATTTAATCATATTTCATTTTCCACCGTAGGTAAGACTGCTTACATCCGACCCCCCCTTACCCCACCGTAGGTGGGAGCCTTTGCGGCACTGGGGTAAATGAAAAATGAAATGAAAATGATTTCATTTTCCATTCCCCCCCCAAGATAAAACTGAACATAAGAAAATCACCTCCCGCAGCAATTTCTTTCCTTTCCCTATCATTTTCCAAGATCCAAACATAAACTGAATATAAACCATGGCTACTTACTGCAAAGAACTAATGAGTGGTCAAGCCCACAAGCGATGTCTTCAACTGTCAAGCCCTGTAGTTCCTCAACTAAATCAGGTTCCCATATAACAGGCATATCTTTTTCCTTCTCTATGGCATCAAAAACCGACCATTCAGCAGCTTCCTCCACTGACAAAGTATTTTCCAATGATTTAGACTGAGGAGAATTAGATTCCAATGGGGAGATTTCTAACTCTTTCCCAATCTTCCCTATTCTACCATCTGCATAATATCCCCAGCCAAACAATTTCCCACTTCTAGTCATTGCTAGAGCATGCCCCCAACCAAATGATACCTGCAAATACCAAATGAACTTGAAGCAACAATACAATAGAACATGGGATGAACATGAGTTGAAGCCCACATCTCTCCTCTGTTGCTAGTAGAACACTGGAAATTTACAATTACCAGTGTCAAACTGCCAATTAATTGTCTATTACTCCCTCCATACCGAAAATAAGATTCATGTTGCAAAAGCGTTGTTTGCACCCAAAAAAGTCATCATCGTGCATCAAATAAAACTATTTTTTCATGTAATTTGGTGATGATGTAATTTGTTCAACCAACGAACAAGTTTTAAAAATATAAGTGCTAATGTGAACAATGGTTGTCGCAGAGGACTTACAAACATGCCTGAGGTCAAATCTTCGGAGCAGTGGGCGTTCTATCTTGGTCTTCCTCACTGGTGAGTAGAGGTAAGAGGGAGGTTCTCACATTTATCAAAGAAAGAGTAGTTAAATGAATGAGCAGCTGGAAACATAGGTTTCTGTCCAGAGCAGGTCAAGATATTCTCCTTAAAACAGCGATTCAAGCTATGCCCGCATATGCTATGAATGTATTTCTATTACCTCAAGACATGTGCAAAGAGATTGAATGACTTATGAACGTTTCTGGTTGAACGGCTCTTTTGGTGGGGTTATTTGGTTGAAGGATTGGGGAGGACTGAGTATTCCTAAGTCAAGGGGTGGTATGGGGTTCAAAAGATTGAAGGAGTTTAAGCGGGATTGGGTAATAATCCATCTTTTGTGTGGAAAAGTACTTGGGAAACTATATCATTTATAAAGATGGTTTCCGTTAGAGAATTGGACTCCAAGACTTTTTAACAGTGGCTCTAAAACAAATTGAAAGCTTGTTACTTGGCCACAAAGGTCGTTCCTGGATGAAGTAATAGCAAAAACTATATATTCATGCAGAAAAAGTTGTGTCAATAGTTCACGCCAAATGTCACTTATCACAACTTCCTTACAGAGAAACAGTGATAGACATTCTAAAAGCATCATTATATGTTTTTCCCACTTGTACAGAAATATCATGGGGCGTTGATAAGTTCAGATAATTTCAATAGTCATGTTCTGTGACGAGATTGATATTGTACAATATACACATACATAAAGAACATGATCATAGGCAGTATAAATTATTCATGTGGATAGGCAATTTCTATCTACAGCATGGTTGGAAAATAACCTTAACTATATGTTCTCCAGCAAGTGTTTCAACCCTGGTGGGTATATGAGCCTTGGAAAGTCCTTTACCCAGGCCTAGTTGTCCATTATTAGAACTTCCCCAAACCCAAAGAGATCCATCATCTGCAATGGCAGCAGAGACGACACCAGAGGCAAATGCAGCTCGGAGTCTCACTTTATCTAGCCCTTCTACCCTCTTCGGTTCACTCCATGTTTCTCTGAATTTAATTCGTGAGAAGGCAGAAAACAAAAAATACATATATTAGTGTTGCAATCTACTCAAGGAGCAAACTTTGAGAAAATAGCATCCCCACATTCTCAATGCTTCCAGATCTAAATAACGAATCAAAACAGAGAAATTATGCATTTTTCCATGCATTTGTAAAGATAACCCCATTCTTATGGTACAACCTGTAAATGAAGAAGTTCTCTAGAAATCTTGATGCACAAGCTCATACCATTGGAATTCGGATTTGTATGATGTTTCATGTTCAAAGGTTGAACAAACAACAACCAACTATCGAAGCTTTAGTTGTTTGTACAGCCTTTGATAAACAACAACAATAACCAACTATCCGAGCTTTAGTTGTTTGTACAGCCTTTGAATATAAAACATCATACAAATCTGAATTCCAATGGTATGAGCTTGTGCATCTAGATTTCAAGAGAACGTCAAAGGCTGTAAATTTAGTTAAAAAATATTTACGTGTTGCAAATTTGACCTTTTCAGATATCTTATTCACGTCAAACACATTTTTTCTACTAGTATTATCAAGATCTTAGAAAATCATAATAGGAAAAAAGTACTTTACCACCAAATAAACAAGCAAAACATGAGATTCTCTCACACTTCAACAATAAAAAATGCAAACATCCATGGATTATATCAACAGAGAACTACCTAGGAGAAAGAGGATCGCGACCAAGCTGAGCTTCGAGGTTACGGCCCCACGCATAAACATGGCCCTCACGAGTGATGGCAAGAGAGTGAAAGTGGCCAGCAGCAATGCTGATGACATCACGTGGCAGGCACGGAATAGGAGTCGGCTCGTAAGCATCAAAGCCTAAACCCATTGTGGACATTGGTAGGCCTAAAGCTCCGTGACTTCCATCGCCAAAGCTCATCACGGTTGGTCCCCTGTGGGTACATATCCATCGCCTGGTCAGTCCGATAAGAAAACCGGATGTCAAGAATCTCTGTCTCTTGACTGAAAACATCAATCGTGCTTGATTGCTAAGACGGTCGGACTGTTAGTCAAATTCAACAAATTTTACATCAAACATTAAATTGCTTGATTACAGCAATATCTTTGAACTTTTTTAACTCAATATTTAAAAGTTGCTAATTTTATTTAGTGTAATAATCAAAGGCATTCAGTTACCTTTTGTTTTATTTGTTTGACATAAATAAGCATTAGCGAACATATTATTTATATAAATATTATAAATGTGTTTTCACACTTTATTTTAGTCTTTGAAATACAATTAAAGCTCAAAAGGAGATATGTATGAATGCATGATTTGCCATCCATGATGAGCGGGCATCCTATTTCTTTCTTTTGAGTTATGGTATAGTGCCATGAAAAGTTCTGAGGCTTAAACTTACAATTGTTTTTTATTATTCCAACACTACATACAAAATGTTTCCTAGTCAGTGTTACACGAAGAATAGCACACTAATTCCACTAATTCAATAGTACCTAACACGGTGGGTACAAAAGAAAATTGTATAGGGTGACATGCTAAGAAGTAATCAATTTGGGTACTATTCACTCCGTTTTTAAGAAGACATTTTAAGAAACATGCCTGGGTGTACTCTAACCCCAATTCACATCCAAAATATATCAGGTTGAAACTTTGAGACACTTAAATGGTCTAGCACCATGGACACAACAGAAAAGGCCTCACTTTGATACTTAAATGGTTTAGCACCATGGGCACAACAGAAAAGGCCTTACTTTGATACTATATGTATGAGCAGAAAATACAAAGACATGTACAAAAGGGCTAGTAAAATACAAAGAGTCTAAGTGTGCTCTGAGCCTAGTCGCCCCCGACGCACGACTTTTTAAACTAAGTTGTATAAAAAAGATAAAGTATAATGTGATGTGCAAACACAAAATGGCCAGTGATAGTATAATAAAAATATTCAGTTTTTTCTTCTCATTTTATGTTCTGTAATACAAGAGTGGAGTTTTATGTAGTGCAATGTAATATGAGGTAGTGCTGTGTAATCCTCATGCTAAGCCTCACCCCACCCCTTTCTTAGGAAAACTAAGGCAATTAAATTGAATTAGCAAGTGTTATTCTTTTGTTGGTAAGAGCTGATCTAACTTAAACTATATTTCACTTTAAATAGCATCAACATACTTTTTTTTACTTGTCTAACTAACCCAAAGTTGTAATCCCTAACTGGTTCAACCTATTAATTCCTAATAACGATGGTCTTTTAAAGCTCTAATGATGGATAAGCGCCACTGCACTTGAGGTGCTACCTGACTATTTATATTACCAAGGAGATGAGACAAGACAAGACATATATGTACTCCATAATGAAGAAGAGGTTGGGAGGCTAAAACAACATTTTTTTGGGATGAAGAGTTGAAGACACTATTTCCACCCGGCCACTTTTACCTATAAATGTCTTTGGGGTCAAGACACTCTATTCTTACATGTCTCCATTATTTGTCATTCTTATTAAGCCTAACTATTTCAATTATTGAACCGATTGCAAGTTAGAGGTTCCCTAAAAAGAAAGTGGAAAATGAGTTAAACTGAGATTTTGGAGCCATTTTAATTCTTTGGTTTAACCAGTTTATGTTTTCCATTTCTAAAAATCATTCTCTTATAAGTTCTCTATACAATAAGAAGTCTATGATAAATGGTGAAAAAAAATCCGGAATTTTAGTGTTAAGTAAAACCATAGCAGACAATTACTGAACGTATATACCTATAATAATAGCGATACTTCTGTTTCAAACAATACCACTAATACGGAGTAATGCTTATGATAGAAATATGGCACTATGTAATGGATGGACTAGAATGCGATGTACCAATGAGAAATCAGAGACAGCCCCTTATGGAAAAGTGTTAAGTTCGAAAAAAAATGAAAACAGAACTTCAGCATTCTTCCATTCAGAACATGAACCGTCCTGGCTCTTCATAAAATAAAACATAAGCCGTCCAAACTATTAAAGAAAAATACCTTTTGTAGCTTTCTTGCAGGCCCATTCAACGGGTATCTATCTCATTTTTCATTCGATCTGTAATCTCAGCATCGTACCTCAATGCAAATCGCTTGAAGGGAGGAAATTCGGAGTAAACGGTGGATAGGGTTAGAGTAGTTTGAGAAGAATAGAGAGGGAGACTATTAATGATGATGATGATTAATGATGATAGATCAACTTTCATTATATTTAATCCTCCAATTGTAAAAATTCTAAAAATTAGATTATATTTAATCCTGGAATGTTTGATAATTTAACTAGTCGGTCATAAAATTAGTAAAAAAACCTTATACTATCGTATTTCAAAAAGTTAATTCAAAATTCTCTTATTTGCAGAGTTTTCATTCAAACGATTCCCCCAAAAACGTTAGTAACAAACAACTATTTACCAAACAACTTTTTCACCTATTGAAAATGCTAAATGTGATCAAACTGTCATTTTTCACTTCAAGTTCCATTTACCAAACACCCCGATACGGGCCCTCACATTTGGCCGGCAGAGTTTTTGCCCTAAGTGAAAGGGTTTTAATGTGAAGAGGAAAGTCTCATGTAATAAAGAATACATTTCTATGCATTCACTATTCCATTTCAATTATGTCTCTTCTAAGTTATATTTGGCACTTTGATTCTGCTGAACCAACCATCCAATTATCATATGTAGGCACCATGTTTCGGTAAGCTAGCCACATTATAAACGAGAATTTGGGAGGAATGTATGCCTTCCAAACAAAAGACATCCATGCATGTGGTGTAGCTTTAATTCTAAGGAGATCATATACCTTTGAGGAGGATAACTTACCATTGTAAGACATCTTACCAAGTTGTGTGATGGTCTCGGCTATAGATGTGAATTTGGAGATAATTAGGTCTCGGATTTGGGCTAGCCTCTTCATCAATTGGGAGTCTCTATTGTGTGATACAAAAGTCCACACACACCTCCCATGGATATAGACACCGTGGACCCATCTCCCCTAAAGAGTGTCTTGCTTGGAGTGAATGTTCCATAAAGTACGGGATAGTAAAGTGTTATTCCAAACTTTTGTGTCTCTAATTCCTACCCCACCCCCCTCTTCTTTTGGTAAGCAAACATCTCTTCCCATGCCACTTTTGTGTGCTTTCCCCCCCAAAGGAATATACGACAAAGGCTAACAATTCTATCCAAAATAGTTTTAGGGACCGGAAAAATTCCTAGCCAGAATGATTGGACACCTTGTACAACTGACTTTATCAACTCAACTTTCCCCGCGTAAGATAAGGACTTAGTATTCCATGCATTCAAATAATCCGTAACCGTATCAATTAACGGAGATAATTGGGCTTCAGAAATCTTAAGAGGGGCCAATGGAATACCTAAGTACCTTACCGGGAAAGATCCTTGTTGAAAGTCCACCATTTGTAGGATAATTGGTAATTTGTTCACTATGTTCCCACCTACAAAGATATTGGATTTGTCTTAGTTGACCATTAGGCCAGAAACCCTTCCATAATCATGTAAAGCATCCAACAATATCTTTATAGATTTGGGTTCTCCTTTAGATAAAAGCATTAAGTCATCAACATATGCCAAATGTGAGATTTTTAGTTTGGAGCATAAATGCTGATAACTAAAATTAGGATTCAGGGTCCTAAGAGCTAACATCCTAGAGAAATATTCAAAACATAAAACGAATAACATGGGAGACATTGGATCCCCTTGTCTCAAGCCCCTTTTCCCTTCAAACCACCCATGTAGAGCACCATTTATGGAAATGGAAAACGAAGAAGTAGTCACACACTCTATTATCCAATTCACAAAGATGTTGGGCAGCCCAATACCCCTTAAAACATTTTCAAGAAATTCCCAAGAAACAGTGTCATATGCCTTTCTTAGATCAACCTTAATCATGCACCTAGGAGTAACCCTCTTTCTAGTGTAACCCCTCACCAATTCTTGTGCAAGAAAGATGTTATATGTCATAAGTCTACCATCTACAAAAGCAATATGTGATGGATCAACTACACTTGAAAGATATGGTCCAAGTCTAGATGCTAAGATCTTGGTAATAATCTTATAAGTCACGTTTGTACACGAAATAGGTCTAAAATCAGAGACTGAGGGAGTGTGAGTTGTTTTAGGAATGAGAGCTACAATAGTATGGTTAACTTGTTTAATCATAGTCCCAGACTCAAAAAAACTCCCTAACAGTAGCACATATATCCTCACCAACTATTCCCCAATCAGATTTGAAGAAAGTTGATGAGTAACCATCAGGTCCTGGTGCCTTGTCATTGCCTATATCAAACAAAGCTTCTTTGATATCCAAATCAGAAATAGGTCTAATAAGGTCATCCATAGAAGTTTGATCTATTGTATTCCCCGAGGAATTATATTAGGATCAAAATCATAAGATGGTTGTGATGTACCAAACAAACCCTTAAAAAGCTAATAAACTCATTTGCAACTTGGTCCAAAGATTGGGTAAGGGACCCATCTTGTAACCGAATGGAAGCAATGTAATTTTTAGCTTGTTTCTTCTTTACAATAGAGTGAAAATATCTAGTGCATCTATTAGATTGAATTAAGTGGACAGCCTTTGCCTTCTGTTTGAGATAGGCTTCCTCGACCTCTTTAAGAAACAAAGCTCTTTTCTTAGCAATAATCATGTCCTCTTTAAGAGCATCATCATGGGGAGTTAAAAGAACTAATTGATAGATTCTTTGATACACCTTTTTAGATTGTTTTGCTCTAGCCGAGATATGACTAAACTCATTAAAATTCAGTTGTTTAAGGGGCTGTTTTAGGAGCTTAAGTTTACGGGCTAGCCTAAATTGTGCCGTTCCCCCAACATTTTTTGTCCAAATGTCCTCTAAAATACAGAGATAGTTGTCATGTTTCATCAACATGTTAAAGAACTTAAAAGGTTTTGAACCACTTTATTTATGGTGCCAATTCTTAGTACGACTGCTACATGGTCAAAATCACATTCCATCTCAAAGAAATGTACATTACATGTTACACCTTGGGCACTCCAAAGGGGGTTAATAAGAATCCTATCCAACTTAGCCCAAATAGCACCTCTATTCCAAGTGAAGAATTTACCCGTGGAAGGGGCATCATCTAGATAAGTTTGGATTTTCATCTCATTTAAGTTCTTCATCAAGTAGTCCTTGGGTGGGGCAGAGCCTCTTCTTTCATTAGGGGCACCTACACAATTAAAATCCCCCATGACAAACTAAGGTCCAAGTGTGTTTGTATTAAGCCTTATCAAATGGTCCCATAAAACTCTTCTTTCTAAAACCATATATAGAGCATACACGAACGAGGCATAAAAACAAATTTGCGTAGTTTTACACCTAAATCTAGCATGCACATGTTGTATGTCAACTTCCATAATATCATCATCTACAAAACAAGGATCCCATATAACAGCTATACGGCCACCCCCTGTCTTATCAAAATTTGTCACATAACTCCAATTAGGCAATCTAAAATGCATAAAATTAGCAAAACTAGTTATGGACATTTTAGTTTCTAGAAGGCAAAAGATACGTAACTTATTAACTCTTATGAAATTGAGTATAGTGTTTTGTTTTGAGGCTTGATTCAGCCCCCTTACATTCCAAGATGTAACTATCATAAAAAACATATTAGGTCTTGCCTCCCTTCCTCCTATACGGTCTATTCATCTCCCTTTGCATTTGCTTCCATTGCCGGTGCTCCTCACATCCTCTATACCTAGCAAGGAAAAGATCATAGACATGTATTATAAAAGTAGAGGAGAATTCATACCCTTCATCCATTTGAGTAACCCCGGGAAGAGACTTTAGGCATGAGGTAGTGAATGTGATTCCTTTGCGTGCCAAGCTTTCCTCCACATCCAAATAGTTGTCCAATCTAGTCATTTGCTCCTCCACATCATCACAATGCATCAAGTGTATCTTCGGCCTTTCCCCTCTTGAAACTCAATCGTTGTTATGACATCATCTAAGTAGGCTTCTTTGATGTCTCTTACAAGTTACAACACAGGCTGTTTTTCTTGTAAACTTCCTCAAATCCACGACTTTACTTCCATTTCCCATTAAGTACGTGACCATCCTCAAAGTACCTATAAAGGAAATGCCTATACACACATGTCATGAAAAGTGATGTATAAACATATCCCTTCTTCTTTTTTCTCACCCCCGGGAGTGATTCCAAGCATTGTTTGGTGAAGTATACCCCTGCTTCGGTCTCATCCACCACTTTTAGAAGGTGGTTTAACCTAATTGTGAGCTCGGTCACATCATCAATGTGTGCTACTTTGATTTTAGGCAACCGGGCCTCATCCGCTTCCATTTCTATGATGACTTCATCATCAAAGAAATCCTTGAAACCTTGAATTCTTCTAGGTTGGTCATCCTCTTCATCATGCTCTTGTATTGTCTCATATCTGGAGGATAATTCCCCATCCTCCCTTGGTTTTTTTTCTTCTTAGGCTTCCTCTTTTTCTTTTTCAAACGGGCTACCTTGAGAAAAGGGTGTTCCTCTCTTTGACCATGGGTGTCCAATGCCATGGCATTATGCTTGCTAGCCTCGGCTTTGGATGTCTCCCATTGTAATGCCGCGACATTACTCTCCGGTGCCTTGGCCTTGCCCTTATCTTCCTTGGTTTGGTCTTCTTATTTGGCTCTTGCCTCTTCTTCTCTTCTCTTTCCTTCTTTTCCATTTCGGCTATGACTTTGCACGTAAATGCATGGTGTCCATAGGCCTTGCAATGGAAACAAAAATTTGGAAAAGTTTCATAGATAATCTTTTGGAAATGAAACCTCCCATTCGGAAACCTCACCTTTAAAGTGAGAGGTGGTAGTTTAGAAGCATCCACCTTTATAAGAACTTTTGCATACTTTGATATTGCCCATTCTTGAGTGACCCTATCCGTAGTTAAGGGCACATCCACTATTGAAGCTATGTCTCTTATAACATCCTCATTCCATATTTGCATGGGAAGATTAGGGAATTTCACCCATATTGGAACTTTGAGGAACTCATCACTTTCAAAGGAGAAGTCCTCCGAGAGTGTTTTGAGGTAAAGTGACTTCCCAAATAAAGTATACAGCCCCTCCATGAGGACTTTAGACCTGTCCTCCTCTCCTTGAAACTTGAAAATCACCCACCCTTTGTCATGGGTTCTTACTTTAC